GAAAAGCCAACTGATTCTGATGTCTCTTTGCCAGTGTTTTTGTGATATTTTGAAAGTTCTTTACAGACGTTTTGAAAAATGTGTGCTTGCCTTCAAACCTCATGCACCACATGTGTATTAGTGGTCCAATCTTCCTAATACAGCTTGGGTAATGTATCATATGGTGGTGCTTGGGAATCAAATTTCGTTCTGGAAACAGAGATTTAAAAAGTGTATGATCAAAAATAAGATGTTTCAGATAGCAGGTCATACCATGGGTTACAATGGGTGAAAAGACAATGTTCACAATCTGTACTAAGAGGAGCAGCAAGTTCCAGCAGCTATCATTCCTGCTAACTAAATCTCCAAACATCAATGGGGTATTGCGCAAAAGACACCAGGACTGAACAGCATTAAGGCCAAGATTGTTGCTATCATCATCCAGTTTTAGCCCACTTGGACTGTTTTTCCTCTGTGTAAATCCATAATTGAAGCTCGTGATTCTCTCTGACAATGAACTTCTGGATATAAAGTTCCTTATCAGGTACTGAAACACAAGCTTCAACTCATACTGCACCACTCCTTCCAGTAAATCATGCATTATATCTACTGCGTAGTTGTCTGAAGTATGGAACAGCTGTAGGGAATTGAGTGGACAGGTTTTTTTAACACCAAATGTTGAGGCCAAAGCAGGATTTTGTTGAATGGCAGCACAGTGTTCTGAATGAAGGGCTTTAGAACGTAAAGTTAAACCTGGATGATCTTCACTGAAAACTGATTGCATCTCTCCCTTTTCAGTTAAACAAAAACGACAACAGTACTTTGCACTAAATGATTCAACAAAACCAAAAAGGCCATGTATTGCCAAGTTGTCACCTGTAACCTGAAACACTGAACCTTTCACAGGTGTGGTTGAAAAAGGCACCTGCATTCCTTCAACTTCTAAAATCTTTAAATCGTCGAGAAGTGGCTTTAGAATAGCGTCAAACCCATATTCAGGGTTCTTACACCTTTTCCAAAGTCAAATTCAAGCACCTTTCAAGCATTTTCAAGGTGCATTTTCCAGCTTTTCAAGCATCTTACAGCTGTTGTAAATTACATATTTATATACACATTATTTCCCTACCTCACATTAAATCAGATGTTCTTTATGCTATAAACAACCAAATGTGTGTTTCGTGATAGCCTTCTACACGAGGATGAAAAATTAAAGAAAATAAAACTAAGTTTAATATTTCAAAATTAGTGATCTGTCGTAGACTAGGCCTCCCATATAACCTGTCTGAGCCAATATAAAACAATCAGCCAAATAACTTTTCAATACATTATTGATTACTATTTTTGAGGTACTTTTAGGTTGGCAGTAAACAAAAGTCAGAGGTAAATGGTGTACTTTCACTCCTCTACATGTATTTAATACCTTTAGTTACTTCAGATGTGGATGAATGATGTGAAATCTAATCAAGTGTTAAATCAGACTTTAGTTCCACCTGGAGTAAATTCACAAGCTACCCTGCAGAATACAAAGTCATTCAAACTAGCTGCACCTTCACCAGCTTTGAGAACACTTTCATGATCAATCATTATAAAACATATCAGATATATTATTCTGAAATGGACCAATCTGCACAATGACTACTTTTACTGTCGCTACTTTAACTATATTTTGATGAGAATACTTTTCTACTTTCACTTGAGTAACATTTTGAATGTAGGACTTTTACTGTGACAGAGTACACTCTGGTACTTCTACTTTTACTAAGTACACGATCTGAGTACTTATAACTTCACTACAATATCTGAGTACTTGTACTTTTACTCAAGTACAATATCTGAGTACTTATTCCACCTCTGGTAGCGTATTAGCCTGAATTGTAGCCACAAAATCACGCAGAGCTGCATAAAAATAGACTCACAATGGTAACAAGTGGGAAATAATATTTACAAATGTGTACAATGATTTGTAGGTAATGCTGACTACTCAAGACACCTGACTTATACATCTTCAAAGGAAGACTGTGTTCATTCTACAATTACATGGGATTAAAGCAAAATGTAGTTTTACTTGTATAATACTTCAATTTTATATAAAAGACAGTTTGTTTTCATCTGTTTTCAAATAAACAAAGTATTGGCTTTCAGAATATTAAACTTGTTTTGGCAAATTCAGATGATAAATACAACTTTGAAGCTTCGGCATAATTACAAGCAGAGAACGGACTAATGTAACATCACAGCAGAGATGTTCACAAGTCTTTTTTTGCAAGTCCAAGTCAAGTCTCAAGTCTTTGGTCACGAGTCCAAGTCAAGTCTCAAGTCTTTGTGGGGTGAGACTTGATCAAGTCTCAAGTCTTTGGTCACGAGTCCAAGTCAAGTCTCAAGTCTCTAAAAAATAAAAGTCTCATGTCTCTTCTGTTTGTAATAAGCCTTCTATTGTCTGCTGCTATCCAGTCTGTTAAGAATACTGCACAGCTATATCTAAGAAATTCAAAGTATTTACTGTATTATTATCACTCCTATATCTATTAGCATACAGTATCAGTACTGATTAGTTGTTTGTTATATGATCACTTTAAACAGGCTATTGCAATGCAATATGAGGAAAAACATCACAGTTTAGCTAAATGCAAACAACTTATAAGCAAAACACTTCAGAATCAGAAATCAGTATCACAAATACTTTATTAATCCCCCGCAGGGAAACTGTGTTAAAAGTACTTCAAAGTAAACATTTGTTCTGTGCCATTTGCAACTAAAAAACTATTGCTGCAATATTATCTGAAATATACTGAACTGGTGATATTAAAACATGACCTGTTCCAAAAGAGATATCTACCATTAACACCATTTACCAGCCAAATGCTGGTAAATCATGCAAGTGGCTGGTACTGTATGTTGCACGCACCAGCCAAAAATAACAATGGCAATCTATTGAGTGGCTGGTAAAATTTCAACATTCACTAGGCTAGCCATTTGGCCAATGGACAAAAATGTTAAAATTTGACCTCTGCAACCGTATTGTTTAATTACACTGGGTCTCTAATTACATCTTTTAAGTCTACTATAAATAAACATATTCCTCTATCCTCTCACTCAAACCCAGTGTAATGGTAACCTGATAAACCTGTAACATTAACGTTACGTGGTCAACAATAAACCTGTAACCTGCCTATAAACCGACAGATGTATTTATGTATGTAACTATGTATTTTTCTACGTTTAACGTTAGCCAGTAGATGGTGGCAGCGGAACGTAATGATTAACGTTACCGACCTTTTTTATGTCATGTCAAGAGTTGGATGTCAACGCCACTCAACGCAAACAAGTGTGACAAGCAAACATTCACTCATCTTTTCAAATATTCAGTTACAAAGCTAGTAGCAAGCTAAGTTAACATTACATAGCTGATGCTGAGCTAAACATGTTTGCTAACCGTCCATATGCGTTAATGTGACTGACCTCTCCAGGTGAGTTTTCAAGTGCCTGATGAAATTTGACGTTGTTGCACCAGCATCCTTGATTTTAATATTGCAGACTTTGCAGTGTGCGCTCCTTTTGTTGGTGCCGCCGGCGTTTTGTTCGAAGTTTTTATAGTTTAACCTAATTACAAGCGGTACAGCTGCAGGTGTGCCGCCGGTCGCCATGGTGTTAATGTTAAAGGTGGGGTAGGTAAGTTTGAGAAACCGGCTCGAGATACACTTTTTGTTATATTCCATGGAATGCTCTTAACATCCCGATAGCCGGCCCGGCTAAAGTAACTGGATGGCCTACCTGCCTGTCAGCCTCCCATCGGGGCACAAACGTATCTCGTGCCCTCATTGGTCATGTGCGCGTTCCTGTGTGTTGGAGGAGGGGCTCTGTGAGGAAGTGGCAGATTTTCTCCGGTTGTGTATTTTCAAATTCTAGCGATCTCGAGCCGGTTTCTCAAACTTACCTACCCCACCTTTAATACGCCAAAAATAGAAAACACAATGATTGTTCACGAGTCCCAAAACACGAGTCCAAGTCGAGTCCAAAGTCTTTTGAGCAGGAGTCCAAGTCAAGTCTGAAGTCTCTGTGTGTGCGACTTAAGTGCGACTCGAGTCCGAGTCACAGACTCGAGTCCCCATCTCTGCATCACAGCAAGCATAACAACAGCCGGTGTTTCTTGTGAGTGTTTCCCCGGTACACAAACGCAAAAATACACAAACACACTCGCGAGCTTCCCCCAGACCAGTAATACAAACGAAAATGTGTCTTCGGGTCAATGTGACTGATTTCGATAGAGCAAGTCACATTTGGTTTAGGCACGAAACATACTACCAGTAGAAATACATTGCTTTCAAAATCGCTCTGTGTCGAATCAATAGATTATATTTCGTGACTATAACACGAAATGCCGTGAGTGCTTCATCCTCTGAAGACCACAGGATGGCGACTGTAACGCACATATTAACATAGGTACGCTCCTCTGAAATGATTGTCCCCTGCAATTATTATTATCCCTCAATCGAGTTCGCTATTCAGCTTGCTAACGTTAGCTTAAACAAACGTAACATGCAACGTTAGCCTAATCTAAAATGCTCTACTACGGCGTACCTTTCATGTTCCTCGTCAGCGCAGACTCTCGCATCGTTATTTTTGCAAACTTTGCAGGGGGCTTGACCCTCGTCTTAGCCATGGCTTGTATTTGTCTTCTGCTAGCCAACGCTCGTTGAAACTGCAACCTCCTGGCACACAGTCATCTATCACTCTCATCAGAATGCCCAGGTCACACGTAACACAAACACTTGCAGGTCGCGCGCATAGCGCGGGAAGGTGCAGCGGAGCTGTTTTATGTAGAAGCGAAGCAATTATTTTCTTTTAATCTAAAAAGCGAACTATTCAGTCAGACAGCAATTTATTGTAAAAGTAAAGCATTTACATTTTCAAGCACTTTATCTCAATTTCAAGCACCATTCCCAAAATTCAAGCACTTTCCCAACCTTGAAAACACCACGTCAAATTTCAAGCATTTTCAAGGATTTCAAGCACCCGTACGAACTCTGCATATTTCTTTAAGTCTTCTGAGTGAAACAGAGATACAAGATGAATGTTCATCAACACAGAATTAAGCTTTGGAGGGAAATTTCTCAAAATAAAATAAACACAGCCAAGTTTGTGCACACCCTTTTTTGAGCCTAATGGATTAGCGGTCTCAAAATCATCATAGTAGAGCTGTATCTGCATAGCATTTTCTTGTTGTGAGAATAAACAGTGGTTCCTGAAGTACGCGCCATCGTTTAAATCTCTGTAAAAGCCCTCCTGGTGTTGTTTAGCTCTTTGAAAACTGTTACAAAGTTCTGTGTTCTTAAACATAGATGAAAGAGACCCCATGATGGGTACATACATGAACTTATCATTGACAGGAAATTGCCTGTATAGTCCTGTTGTTTTATCTCTGCGTGTATCAAAACGCACACCAAGACTATACTCGACAGGTTGAACTATTTTCCATTTCTCCTCAAAATGCCTACTTCCGTTTAGATTCTGTGTTAAGACATGAAAAAGGATTCCCAAGCTGATCAAAATAATTCTCAACTTTTTCTAGGGTTTCTTTAGATGCTTCAGATGACAAACATTCAACAACAGCTTATTTTGCATGGGCATGGATGTCCTTAACCAGTTCCTCCATCGAACCAACTAAACATTGCACAGTACTTTCAGGAACTCCTGATGCTTGTACTTGAGCAATAACTGAGCTGCACATGTCTAGTAATTTCCTTTTCTCCATCGGGATGTGTGTAGTGACCGTCACAGGAGAATCCACATTAACTGGCTGTGAAACAGAAGCTCCAACAAAAGCTCCAGGTTCAAACTCAACATGGCTGGCGACATCTAGATCAACACTGTGTTCATGTGCTCGAGATAGGTGCCGCTTGTAACCAGAGTATGTGCAAAACACAATTGAACATCCAAGCTCTCCACAGTGCAAACGCAAAGACCTTCCTGGGTACAAACCATGCTGAAACTTCAAATGTCTAAATAACACTGAACAGTTTATGTGGTGTACCTTGCAAATGTAACATGTGAACATTAGTTCAAGTCAGAAAGGACTGCCTTTCAAACTGAACTGTGAAGAAGTCTTGCTCCAATTTCCTTGACTCGAGGACTCTCCTTCACACTTCCAACATCAATGCCATACACGGTTGTCTGGATGAATGTGTAGAAGTTGCATAGTGCTTCATCATAAGACACATCAAAAGCAAAATGTGCCTTGAAGAGCTCGTCAAAGGCAGCAACTCCAGTCTGCGTCTTACAGGAATGGCCTTTTGGTCCATGACGATGTAGAAATGTTGGATGCTGTCGTTTCTTTCTCCAACACACAGGAGGCCAGTGTCCTTGAGGAAGGTCTCAATGCATTTCCTGACCTGAGAGAAAGAGATAGACAGCGAATGAATCACAAGGAATAGAACTTGGAATTTGGAGAAGAATTAGGATAAAATCTTCAAATGACTGGAAGAGCACAATTATTTTTTCCTTTCACAATTACTTTCAAATTAGGACAAAAGCTGCTCCCGTGTTGTAACACCAACCCGGTCTGAACATTTAAAAAAAATCTGCAGCATGTCAAGCCACTTAAAAATTACTATCAGATCTTTACAATCAAACATCTGTTGTTTTCTAAATGGAAATATACATTAAAAACGTTTCGAAGAACATACCCTTAAGAACTTCACCAGGCGGCCAGCAGCATCCTTTGCACTAATCTTGACACGTGACTTCTTGCCCTTGGATGTTGGCGGCAACAGGTGAAGAAGCAGAAGGATGGCAGCCACCTCACAGTCCCATACTACAGACAAATCATTTACACCATTTCAATTACTTGAATGACTTAACCAATATTATCTCATGTTTGAGCCTATTTTTCACAGATCATTGATGCTTTATATGTTGTGTTTTTAGAATAATGATTGATAATAGATGGACCTGAGTCTCCCCAGAAGTTGATTTCCATATCGCATTAATTTAATATTGTATAAAACAGTTATGTTAAGTACATGGGTTATGGAGCAAAGCAGCCAAAACATGAAAAGCTCTGGTATGGTCCAATACTTTAGATTAGATAGGGAACACAGTGAATGCCCTATGTGTCAACTGAAGACACCAATTTACACTTACCACCATCATCAGATTCTTGTTGTGCAGACAAAATAAGCTCATCCACGTGCAAACTTCCAGGAAGATTTTTGCAATCTGCAATGATCCTTGGTTTGAAGAACGTTGGCCATTTCGCAAGAAATTTACCAGAGACTTCCTCGCCAAAGAGCATAGTGAAGTCTTGTTCAATCTTAAACACAAAACATGACAGGGAAAACTACATTAGTGAGAACAAAAATGAACTACCACAAAGCTTTTAAAAAGTCGTTATTTCTTACCAAGCCTGATGTGTCCAGGAATCTTGGAAAAAGGTCTAGGACAGTGGAGGCTGTGGCTCGGTCTTGAACAACCTTTTGTCTTTGCTGAAATGTTGCCTTCATTTTGTCTTGGACCAGGGTTATGTCACTTGAGTGCCTCATCACCGACATAGCTTCATTGCCTTCATCACCTGATAACTGCCTCACAGGTGAATGCATGATGCGATGAGTCTTAGGTCCGCCTTGAAAAGAGACCTTGGATTTCTCGATTTCTTGAGCCGAGTTGCGCTGCACAGTTTTCAGCCTCCATGCCAGGTAACCAGAACCACTCTGGTGATCATAGAAATACTCCTGTTGATTTAATTAAAAGTTAATCCATCACCTGGTTAAGATCAAGGAATTATCCTAAACATGACCTGTGTCATGTGTGTTCAATTTAATGCATGTAAGAGCTGGTTATGGGTTAAATAATTCAACTGTTACTTAAATACTCAGCCCCCTCCTCTTCATCATCTACATCCTCCCCTGTGACTAAGGTAACTTCGTCACTGTGAACTGACGGCTTCGGGCATTTTTATACAATGTATACTATTTATTGATGTAGTGTTTATTGTATTTTATTTTGAAATATGTTCCCCTTTCCCCATGTCTGTTGCCGTTGATTGTGTGCACCTGGTGCCCTGTGTTGTCTCCTCCCCCCTCACTTGTGTCTTGATTGGGTTGTGCATTTAGGCTCTGGGGTTTTTCTGTTCGGGAGAGAGTGTGTGTGAGATCCTGGTGGTGGCTGGTGACTGTGTTCACGCGTGGGCAGCAGATTGATGCTGTGTTTATGACTTAATAAATGCCCACACCGGGTTGTATTTTGGACGTTCTGCCTCTGCCTCCTTGCTTGGTCTGGGCCGCTCAATTGTCAGCTTCACAATTGGTGTCAGAAGTGGGATTGACCAAGTGAGGAGGTGAAAATGATGGAGGGGAATAACCGCAAGTTTGAGGAACTAACGGAGATGATGATGTTAATCATGCAGTCTCAGACAGCCGGAGAGCAGCAGTGTTTACGGATACAACAACAGGTATCTGAGATAGAAGAGGAACGGAGACTCCGGAGGCAAGACGGCAGGTTGGCTGAAGAGCTCGGCCGCATCAACGTCCGATATGGGGACCAGGCCCAAAGAGGGGAAAAGGTGACGCAACAGATTCAAGAGTACCGTATGGAGCTCCGGGAGCAGGACCGTAGAAACCAACAGAAGGAGGAGGCGGAGCAGATAATGGAGCGTCAGCTGCTGGAGGAGCTGGAGAGACAGAGACAGGCAGAGCTCACGGCCCAGAAGGCCAGAAAGAAGGAGCTGATCAAAACCCTGGAGGAGAATAACCGCCAGATGAAGAGGGAACTTGAGCGAGTGGCCGCTGAGAAGCTGGAGAAGGTCAACAGGAGCCTACAGCGTCACCTGCAGCGCAGCGTGGAGGAGAAGGAGGAGCGCGAGTGGGAGCTCCTCAACATGAAGAAGCAGATAGCCACTCTGATGCAGCGGCTCCGGGCGGACCCCGCTCAGCTGGAGAGGTTGCAGTCCATGCTCTCTGTGAAGAACGGAGGGATACAGGACCTCAGGAGGAAATCTCTGTCAGAGCATCAGAGAGTTTTGGAGTTTGAGAGGAAGCTCTACTCAATTGAACGGCTGCTCAAACAGACTCAGAGTGACAAGATCAAACTGCAGATCAGAGTAAGCGAACTGCAACACAAGTATGAGCCCAACGAAGCAAAAAAGGATCGGATCCCGAAGAGGAAGAAAGAGAAGCTTCCTTTCGACATCATGGCACCCTCTGAGGAAACCACGCTGCACAAGGGGCCGCAGGTTGTTGCCGTGGGGATAGACATCACCAAGATAACGAATTCAGACGCTGAAGCAGCTAATACAGTGGAGACCGAGAAGCTCCCGGTTGAGGAGCTGGTCAGGAAGGGGTACGATGAGGATCCGGTGCAGAGGCAGCTGAGGCTGGAGAAGGTCAGAGCCACTCCGCAGCACATAGAGGAGTCCAGGAAACACCGGGCGGAGTGGAGAACCATGGAGGAAAGAAAAATGGCCATGGCCAGAGAGCGATGCAACCATGCGCATCGCGCGGTGGTCCGGTGCCTTGCAGCCGCACAACTTTGCCGTTAAGTACCGGCCAGGGAAGTCAAACCGGGTGGCTGACTGGTTGTCCCGAAGCCAAGACTGTTAAGACACTGTGCTTCCTGTGGAGAGGGGTAAGGAAATGTGACTAAGGTAACTTCGTCACTGTGAACTGACGGCTTCGGGCATTTTTATACAATGTATACTATTTATTGATGTAGTGTTTATTGTATTTTATTTTGAAATATGTTCCCCTTTCCCCATGTCTGTTGCCGTTGATTGTGTGCACCTGGTGCCCTGTGTTGTCTCCTCCCCCCTCACCTGTGTCCTGTTGGGTTGATTGGGTTTGCATTTAGGCTCTGGGGTTTTTCTGTTTGGGAGTGTGTGTGTGTGAGATCCTGGTGGTGGCTGGTGACTGTGTTCACGTGGGCAGCAGATTGATGCTGTGTTTATGACGTAATAAATGCCCACACCGGGTTGTATTTTGGACGATCTGCCTCTGCCTCCTTGCTTGGTCTGGGCCGTTCAATTGTCAGCTTCACATCCCCCTTGGTCAGATTCTCCGCCAATACAACCTGGACTTTCACTGTTACGCTGATGACACATAGATTTACCTCAGCACCAAATCCCCCCACAACTCCCCCAAGACCTCCGTGAGTCTGAGTCTCTCACCCTGTTCCCGCCTCAAAACTCAACTCTTCAACTCTGTATCCATAAGCCCCCCCCCCCCCTCTCAACCAACTTCCTCCTGACTGCTTTTCTGTTATGTTTTGTTTCTTTGTGGTTTTGTTTGTCTACCCTCCCTCCCAAACGTAAAGCGTCTTTGGGTTCAAGAAAAGCGCTATAGAAATAAAATGTATTATTATAGCAGAACGTAATATATTAGCTTTAAAAACAAAGCATATTAATATCAATACTTACATAACCATTCTTTGAATCGGGGTCTTTTAAATTTGGGAACAACGTTTTTAATGCCAAGTGTGTAGGTAATGCGGACATGGGCTGGAGGGATCCTCCTGAGAAGAAACAAATGTATTACAAATATTTATAAAGACAGAAAATGAGGAAAATGTATCAAATCAAAACAAGATTTTAAGCATACAATACTTACCCATGGCTCTCTACCATGTCTGCCACAAGTTTATTGATCATTTTTCTTCTTGTACCATCACAAAGACTCTTTTTTTTCTCATATTCCTTGATGACTTGGTCACCACCTGGCTTTGAATGCAGGGCTGCGTTGACAATCTGAAACAACAATTGCCTAGCATTCAGCACAAACATTTCACCTAGCTAACAAGGACATATATTAATGTCGGTTCGTAACTATAAATCAGGGCTGAAAACAGCGTTTTAGGATAAATGGATATTGGATACACAGCTTTCCTCACTGGCATCTTGCCCCTTTCACACAGAACATTCCATTTGAGCATTTCATGGGAATTTCCCTTGTTTTTTTAAGACACTTACTATTGGTACAAATAATTATGAATTATGTGCAGCATCAGTTAAAACACACCAGATAACTTACATCTCTTGCACTGCTGCTGTCAGGGGGTCCTTCAATCAGCTGTCTTTTCCAAGCTTTGGTAGATTCTAGTCTTATTGTTGAGTCCGAGCTTGATGATGACCCATCAGATAAGAATGATCCCTCTGAAGAAGACTTCACACTCTCTTTCTCACACACACACACACACACACACACACACACACACACACACACACACACACACACACACACACACACACACACACACACACACACACACACACACACACACACACACACACACACACACACACACACACACACACACACACACACACACACACACACATACACACACACACACACACACACACACACACACACACACACACACACACACACACACACACACTAACAAACACACACACACACACACACACACACACTTCAAGGTTATTAGAATTATAACATTTATTATAGCATTTTATTACCATCGCATTATTCAGTGAAGGCCTTGAAAGACACCCGAGATGAATTCAAAAGCTCATCAAAGATGTCAGAATCCACTTCCACTCCTGTAGAATCCTTTAGCATCAAGGAAGTCAAACCTGGCAAATTGAATTTTGCCAGCACTGAAACAAAGGATAATTTGGACCATATCATAACTCACAAGTTAAACATACAACACTGAAACTCTTGAAAGCAACCATGATGCAAGACACTTTAATTACCTCATTGTAAGAACTCAGAGTAATTGTAGACATCCTCTACTTTTGGTACCCTGACCCATTTGCTCACACTCTTGTATTCGACAGGAACCAGCATGTCACCACCTTCAAAGGGAAAATGACTTATATTATCATACATATACACAGATACCTATACCTATATACACAAACATATATGTATATAAATACAGACACACATATATAATACATATGTACAACCCATGCTATGAAGCATACAACTTATAAAAACAGCCTGCACATTTTTTATAGTTAGCTAAGATAATATAACTGGTTATTTAGCTACAATTATCTAAAATACACTTGGTTATAAAGTTGATTGTACTATATCAGCATGTTTAAGCTAGGAACTAGAAGAGGACCGCTGGGCTCACGTCAGGGAATGCATGACTGCTGGGATTGTTGTGCTAATCTGCTTAATTACGGGACGGCGGGGGAAATAGGTGAACATGTGACAAAGCAGCGTTATAAAGTTAATAGCTTAGATAAATAAAGCTTACAATAGTCCACACTCGTTTCCCTACCCCCGTCACATACACAGGAGAGCGCCGCAGTGTTCACTCGCGTTCGTTCTCTGCTTCAGTAGGAGGTTGCTGTCGGGTGGTTGCTAATTGCAAGCTAATAATGCTAGTAGTAAAGCGACCGTCGACTCCACGAGGACACACGGTGATAGCGGTTTATAACTCTAGCTTCCAACATGGCGGAAACACCCCATAATGAAACGCGGCTAACATCGGTCCGCAAGCCCCGGGACGGTGGGGGAAATAGGTGAACATGTGACAAAGCAGCGTTATAAAGTTAATAGCTTAGAGAAATAAAGCTTACAATAGTCCACATTCGTTTCCCTCCCCCCGTCTCACACACTCAGGGGAGCGCCGTGGTTGCTAATTGCAAGCTAATAATGCTACCGTCGACGTCGTCGACTCATACGTCATAATCCACAACCTTACATTTTAACAAGATACACGTTTCAAGATACTCTTTATTTAACTTCTCCTTTTCGCATATTGTAAAAACAACTCACCTCTGTCCTCTCTGTCCCCTAATGCGCCTCCTGTTCATGTCGAATGTAGGTCTATTCTCCTGTAATTCAAGTTTACTCATCAGTATAGTTGCAATGGTGAAATTCGACATAAAAAAACTATTTCAAATTGGATTAAAAAGTTACAGATACAAGATATACATATTAAGTAAATAATTACAATTTACAGACATTATTCATGGTTACAGCAACCGCAAAACATTAATTTTAATCGAGTGAAACTTACCGCTTTGGTTAGAGAAATGGCTGTCGAAGGTCTTGGATGGCGCTCCTTTGCCGGAAATTGAGGGGTGTGGTCAATTCAACAGTCGGCATGTGAGAGTCCTCACAACGACCAAAATTGACACCAACACTTTCAGGAAAAAACTCTCTGAGTGATAGCTTGACTAAACTAAGTGTTAACATAACACTGAACCCTGCTGATTAACACTAACACTGAAAATATAACTGCTGTGCAGGAGGGGGGGTGGTGGTGCCGTGAATAAGGCCGAATATGGATGTGAGGGAGACATGCTGGAGGTCATTAGTCCGTCCTTTGGGGCTCCGTGAGGGGCCACAGAGAGGTGCAATTACTGGTCTCTCTCCTGGAGGTGTGAAATAAGCAGAGTGCCCATGTGAGGGAGACATGCTGGAGGTCTGTAGTCCGTCCTTTGGTGGTCTGTGAGGGGCCACAGAGAGGTGGTTTTCGCGGTCTCTTTCCTGGAGGTGTGAATTAAGTGCCCAAGTTATGGAGGCATGCTGCATCATTAGTCCGTCTTTTGGGGCTCTTGGAGCAGCCAAATTGGCCATGATAAGATGCATCAACACATGTGTTAACAGAATCACCACGTGTTGAGTGAATCACCACATGCGATACTAGAGTCAACCTACTCAGCCTGTTCTTGTACTCTGTTCTGTTCACTGGTTTTCCAAAAAGTGAATTCGACTATTTTGACTGTGGAGGAATGCAAGGGGAGTTGACAGGGGGCTCTACCCGCGTTATGAGGCACTATTTTCGGATACTTTTTTACATTTTCTGCACAGCTTGCTCTCTGGGTTCACAGGTTCACTCTGACTCTATTTACACCACTTTTCCCAACGTTTCAAACCCTTTTCCTGGATAAAATTAGGTCTGTCACTTTGGGTAACCGCACCACTCTCGGACGTCTCCCGAGAGTGGACGTCCATTGCCTCTAAATAGGGTTAGGGTTAGCTTTAAAGAACATGTTGAAGAACCAACTAAAGTTTGGAAGAAACAAATGTTGGCTTTAAGGAGAGAATAAAGGATCTAAAAATGTCCTTGTCATGAATCCTTATCAGCTCATGTAAATGCTTGAGCACAACTGGGCTTGGATGTTGCCATGTATACAGTAGCTGTTGGCTTTGTTTTAGTTGCAAAAGTCTAAAAATCATTGCCTTGCGGTCATGAGACCAGCCAATATGTCCACAAAGATCTTGCTTCTTCTCCCGTCAAGAGTTTTGACGGGAGACTTTGATCCTTAAAAATTATAGAAAAACTTTTAGATGTAATCAATTCTACAAGGAGGGGAGGTAGAGATGCATGGTGGGGTTGGAGTGATGAGGGCGGCCGGTCGGGGCAGAGTCTGTAGCTGAAATAATGATGATGCTGATGAAGTGCAGAACGGGCATCCAGTGGCACAGCTGGCAGAGGTGGCCCAGTTAGCCCAGTTAGCCGGCTGGCTTCCACTGGACCACGCACAGATGCCCATTAACTGCCCCGCTGATGACACCCCTGGGGCATAACACACACACACACACACACACACACACACACACACACACACACACACACACACACACACACACACACACACACACACACACACACACACACACACACACACACAAACAAACACACGCATTTGTAAAGATATATATACACATATTACACCGGGACAAAGATATAAGCACACATGCAAGAGACAACCCCAAACAATATTTTGATATACAGCATATGTAGACATGCACACACATGCACACCAACACACGTACACAAAAACACACACGAAGATATACTGTATATACACATTATAACTGCCAAGACAAAGATATAACTACACATGCTAGAGACACAATTGAACAATATTTTGATATAAAGCACATGCACACACAAACACCCATCCCTAAACACACACACACACACACACACACACACACACACACACACACACACACACACACACACACACACACACACACACACACACACAAACACAGTGAAAAAATGTCTCACCCAAGTCCAAACATCTCTAAACAAATATTTTCCGCAAAAATATGTCCCAACACACGCATGTACAAACCAACACACATATCATGCTGCTTAGCCACTATGTTCCAGCAATCACCACACAGACCCTGTGACTGCCCCCACACACCCCCACACACACACAGTGCAATTCTCACCTCAGGGCAGAGATGTGCTCTGATGTTTCCGGGGCAGTGGGCAGTCACGAGTGTGTGTGTGTGCCTGACAGCTGTTTGTGTGCATGTCCGTGTGTCCGTGTGTGTTTGTGTGTGTTGGCGTGGTGCCCTAATTTGACAGAGCCAGAGCAGTGGTTGATCCCCTGTGCAGTTGATTTGGCTTGATGTTGACCCTACAGGCATTGTCAGCTCCAACATGCTCCCTGTCTCCTCATGTAGCCCAGCACGACACTGAGTGGACACACACACACACACACATACGGACACACACCACGCGCAACAAAGTGCACAAACATTCATTTAATGCAATAAAACAAGTCCCACCTTTTACCTATTTTAATATTTCTGTATTCAACTATTTTTATTTTTTAATTTGTGATACTTATAATTTTTCTTTTAGGAATTATTTAATAGTATTTTTTTATTTGTTTTGAAGGATTTATGAAATTATCTTTTATTTTTTATTTCCATTCACTTTCTTTTTTATAGTTAATTTGAAGTACTTAAAACAGTTGTCTATAAATGATATAATGGTATGTCTGTTTTATTAGATTTGTAGTATTTACGATGTTGTTTAAATACTTCATAGTTGTTCTTTATAACTATATTTTTTCCACCAAAGCTTGTAAATGTAAATTGATGCAAAATATAAAAAAACAATTCAGATCGGCTTTATACATTTTCAAAAGAAGAGGAAAACAGTTACCATAAGAGAAAAATAGAAATATTATATTCTTATAATCTTCTGCGTGTGCGTCAGAGTGCCAAATGTTGTCTCTTTGCCTAGACAGAAGATATCTTAAAAATACATAAAATCAAATAATTCTACATTTCTATACATCAGTTACTCTCAATCCCTCAGAATGATTCTCTATCATTGGTTGATGGCACTGTATAACAGCAGTGCTGAGGCCAGAAACACAGAGTGGCGGACTAAAAATCTAAAGCATAGAAACATAATGCATAATATATTCCAATAATATATTTTTGTCTTGTCGAAGAGCTTTATTTCCCTGCAGTCAGTGCAGAAAAAACCCTTTCCACATGACTCGTGGCTGCGGAAAGAGATTATGTTTCTAATTCAGTTGGACTTGAATATTTATACATAGCCTTTTGATTTGTGAAATACAGTGTCAGCACTTGTTGTGTGTTTGAAGCCATGTGAGTGTGAGTCCTCATTGATAAAAAACAACAAAAGTTAATGTTTTACTGCAACGTCATTGTGTTTGTGCGCTATGTGTGTATGTGTGTGTGTCACTTTCTTTCTCTTTCCATCATTCCTACACTCCCATCTGTCTTCCATTCTCTCCTTGTCTGTTAGAAATACATATTATGTGCTTTCTCTGGTTACTCGTTTGTGCACTTTGATCCAAACATTTTTCCTTTTTTTGGACCTTTCAGAGTGGCGTATGTTTGTGTGTGTGTGTGTGTGTGTGTGTGTGTGTGTGTGTGTGTGTGTGTGTGTGTGTGTGTGTGTGTGTGTGTGTGTGTGATGCCTTCAGAGTCCATCAGGCTGTCCCTGCTGGAACAGATCCTCTGAGGTAAAGGCCATATTTTAATCCCTGGGTCCATCTAATCTCCTCATATTCACATCTCAGATTAACACAGACAGACATAGCGGTTTGATGCCTGTCATCATCAGTCGCTGTGTGTGTGTGTGTGTGTGTGTGTGTGTGTGTGTGTGTGTGTGTGTGTGTGTGTGTGTGTGTGTGTGTGTGTGTGTATGTGTGTGTGTGTGTGTGTGTGTGTGTGTGTGTGGTGTGTGTGTGTGTGGGTGTGTGTGTGTGTGTGTGAGATGAGGTGCGTGAAAGAGTTTTCAGAATGATTCTGGTGGTCCTGGCTGAGAGAGATTAATTGTTAAAAAATTAAGCTTGTCTAGGGCCGGCGACCCGTGGGTCAACTGTTTTTCTCGCTATATTGAAACACACACACACACACATATCCTGATGCCATCTGCCCTGGGGCTGCTGGCCGGCGATGTCAGCGTGGTAAGAAGGGTGGGATCAGAAATGAGAACAGCATGTACTGTGTGTTTTAACATCAAAGGTGACTCAGTGCCTTCACACACACACACACACACACACACACACACACACACACACACACACACACACACACACACACACACACACACACACACACACACACACACACACACACACACACACACACACACACACACAAGCTGTCCACACATGAAACGTTGATTGTGGTCACTCTCTCTCCGTGCTTTTTGCTCAGGGTAAAAAAAAAAACCAACCAAAGAGGGCAGTGGAACGGGGGAGATTCCTCCGCCAGGCCGCATGAACGCAGACATAAACACACTGACTAATGAAACTCAGGCGTGGAAAGTGTGTGTGTATGTGAATGTGTGGTGTGTTCTAAGTAGCTCCATCTGGGTAGAGGTGGCAGCGGAGATGTTTACTTGAGGCTTTAGCCCATCAACTTATTGTCAACAGTTCAAGGGACTGTCAGCGCTCAGTGTGTGTGTGTGTGTGTGTGTGTGTGTGTGTGTGTGTGTGTGTGTGTGTGTGTGTGTGTGTGTGTGTGTGTGTGTGTGTGTGTGAGAGGCAGAAAGAGAGTGTGTTTGGAGGGGGTTCGTGGTTAGGGGTACGGAGTGAGCAGGGAACAGAAAACAGCGTGTGTCTGAAATTTGAAATGTACCTTAATGATTGCAAAATGTGAAGTCAGAATGTGAAAAAGGATTATAATCGAGATCTTGGTTGAAGCAATTAACCAGTTCTGACTGGACAAATACAAAACGATCAATATCTAAATATACAGTTATCAATTTACTGTAAAGGCCCTGACACACCAAGCTGACACCAAAGAACCAACACAGTCTCACTCCCTGATAGTCCAATAGCTACGCTTGGTCAGGGTCCTTTGGCCTGCAGTTGTGACGCACCGAGGCTCCTTCAGCTTCATAAACGGACGCAAAGAGCTTTCAACTGATTGCAATGTATTCCCATCTGCGGCGGTATTTGACGCTCATGGAAGCACCGCATCGGTCTATGTCGGCGGCAGTTAAAGGCAATGTGAGCGTCCATTCCCATAGGATAAT